AATTACTCAAGAAGTAATAGTAGGCCGTTGAACATACACAAATTATGCATAAAGAAACCCGGACTTAATGTCATTGGGAATTCATCGCAGTAGTTGGCAATGTACTTTAAATATTGCTACGATGTATTTTTTCAGCAAGACAAGTTTACAGTAACACATGCTCTTGTCAGTATTATATCCCCTAAGCACCTAAAGTGTAGTATATGTTGTAACTTGGATCTCGGTGGCAACGATCGTAAATAAAACATGAGTGAAGCCACGAAATTCCACAACCAGGGGTCATGATTAAATAAATTACCCGGTCATACAGAAGTAACTTTTAGACCGTGTCCAATGCATCTATTGAACCATCTCATACATTTTGAACCTGCCTTAACCACAACCGCTTTAGCGTTCCCAGTGACTAACAGTTGTTCTCTCTAAGCTGAATCCTCCACGGTTTCACAGACAACACTTTAAGCGTCAGCTGAGATCAGTAACAACCGATGGGGCTATTGAAACTGCTAGATTTTTTCATCTCTTAAAGCGTGTTAAATTTCCTGCTCGTGAAATAGCATCTACTAAAGTAGATCGATGGGTTCAACCGCTGAATTCGTTCCGTTTTGCTAGGTAATTCTTATATGCTTGACGCGCCATCCCGATGAGTTTCAACACATTCCAACACACAATAGCATGCACGATGGCGATCAGTAAGCAATTGTAAACCACGTGGTTCTAAACGGTAACGTGAGCAACACTGGGTTAAGATGATTCTCCTGTGATGTCTAGCCTCGTTGTCACATTTTCTTCTTTTGTATGCGTTAAATTTCGGCAGCAATGTATAATTCCTCAGCCTGCGTTTGTCACAAAAAGCCCCTATCATCACTGATAAATATGAATTTAGTCAAGCATTGCGCTCTATATATAATCTGTAATGTGTATACCGATAGAAATTCAGCCGTAAATTCCTGCCTTTTTTCTAAGTATAGATGCATAGTTTTCTTGAATGTCAGGGTAAGCGAACACATGATTTCAATAATTCATCTTCAGGCTTATACAATTATATACAAATCGAAATGTGCAGAGACATTACAAGTCGTTACTACTAGGGGGAGTTAATTGGATGCTGACAGCGCTGTCTGTTAAGCCACGACAACCGACCACGTGTGACCTCGTGGGTCAGAGGTCGCCGGCCGTTTGGGCCATAGCAGTCCCAAGCCCTTAGTTAGCTTCTTCTGAACACATGGCTCCGGTTCATAAAGCAGGATCGTACTTGCTTCAGCGGCTTCTAGTGGTCGCTTGCGGACGTAGTTCGAGCGGTGCTTTGGAGCGTGATAGATCAGTTTGAAAGAATCAGTGAACTTTGTGGCGTGCCTGTATCGGCTAGGTGCGCGGCCATTGGAGAGTTCGCTGTGTTTCCACTTCCAGTTCTAAGCCCGACCGGGTAGTGTTCCTTCATTATCCCAGCTAGACGCCGTGTCGTATGACCAACGTATTCCGCTCCACAGGAGCATGAAAATGAGTAGATACACATTGAGTTAGTGTGGACAGGCCTCATCCCTTGAGTTTATTCTCACCATCGGAATGCTAGTAAACTGGATTTGCATTTGCGTCTGAGTGCAAACGAAAGACGACGAGCCAGAAGTTCCGTCGCAACCTCGCCCTTATAAGGTATCTGTAGCATTATTGGCTTAGGTTCTACTGTCAAAACAACTGGCATTTTCTTCTTATGTTCCAAGTTAGCTTTGATGAAGCTTTACGGATAGCCATTTTACCTTAGCACTAAGCAAATGCACTCTAATTCATCCGGAAGCGTGTCGTTCGAGCAAGTACGTTCAGCTCGGCTCACTAGGGAATTTATCCAGTTCTGTTTAAACCTAACTGGCACAAAGCTGTAGAAATTTGTGTACTGCCCATTCCACGTACTTTTCATACAGAAGCAACGCTGCAACGCACACCCATCCAGTCTTTTCATGGCGAAACCAAAGAAATGAAAGCAACTGTCTTCCTCAACTACGCGGGTGAACTTTATTTCTGGATGGCCTTAATTGAACGTGTTAGTTAGTTCCTCGATACTTCGGAACGACTTAAGCAAGACAAAAATGTCGTCTAAAGAATGGCAGTATAAACCGAGACTTAAGATCCTTGGCTTTAGCTTTCCGTGTTCCAGTATGCCCATGAAGACATCGGCGAGGAACGGACCCAGTGGGGACCCCAAGGCTACCCCATCGCACTGCCAGTATAATTCGCCATTGAATAGAAACTGAATATTGAACATGTATCTGAGCAGTAGTTCCTTTAGGATCACCGTGATGATGCCAACATTAATCTGGTTTGCATCAATATGTTGAATGTTGCGCTATTTTATGTGATGCTGCCATTCTTGGTCCATGGGACTTCAAACAACTTCAAAAGTAATGGCTAGCAGTAAATCAATGGTTAGATTTGGAAAAATTTTCAATATTTGTAAGCTTTTTCCAGATTATTTCCTTTTGTCCTGTCAGCTACCTCTAGGCACTAAATAACAAAGGATCCATGTAATCTAACTGTTGCATCACATTAATACAAAGAAAACTGGCATGAAGCTTTAGAAAGTTAAGTAAACTGCAACTCTGAATCTAAATAGCAAGTAAATAGAAAAGCATCTGTGAAATGTTCGCCCAAAGCTCTACAACACGAATAAACATACAGTATAAAAGGACGAAAATGACTTCGTGAGCCACCAGGTATGATCAGGTGTCTAATTGCCATCTTGGCTTATCAATGTGATTGCAGGTTGCAGCTCGCCATGTTTTCAGTCAATCTGTTATGCCAGTTCTTCTTGGTCAACAGAGCGATTCTCATGGATCAACGTACTGGTCATCGGGTAGGAAAACAACCCACCATGAAGTAGGCAATAAGGAGTACAGAAGAGATGTGTTCAGACTAGTCCCAGGAGAACCGTGTGCACAGACCCCCTTAGTGCGTTCGCAGAGTATGGTCATCAGTATGACCCAGTCACATTAGCTAATTTCGATCCTGTACAAGCGACCTATCGGTATATGTAAACAGTGCGCGTTAGCCACGCGTCTGACCCATTCCATAACGCTGGTAGTACTAAAACGTTTAACCTCCCGCTTAAGACTTGTAAGCGGATGTCGTCTCTTTTCTATAGAAGGCTAACAACAAAGCAACTTTTGCAAAGTTAAGACTATCTTAACTGCCGGTTGGTTGGAATGCGACACACAATTTCTAACGATGCCTCAGTTGGTTTTGAAGCACGTTTTGGTCATTCTGAGCACTTCGATCGTAACCGAAGTGGATGGGGTTCGCTGTTGCTTCCTCCCATCGCTGATACCTCAACTGGTTTCGTCTCCATTTCCACTCCGCTAACTTTTCCTCCACTGCAGGGAACGGCTTTTCTACCGCGTGTGGCATTCTTGCTTATATGCATCAGTGATAATCCTAACTTTCTTTTTGCCACACTCTCAATTGCTATTTATTCACCGTGAAATGGCGTGCAGCCATAAATTCATTGTATCGATTGGCAAACGCGATAACATTCAAGTTATTACCAGCGACATATGCTCATCGTTTCTATTGTAATATGTTTTCATTTTCCCCGGCTTTGGTAGATTGCACGAAATGTAAGCACTCCCTCCAAGCTGGGTCATGTGACGTGGAGTTACGCTATTTTGATTTGTGAATCAAAGGCTTCTATACATTACTGTTACCGCAACTGATCGATAGTAGAGAAGGTTTGGCATGAACACACTGAAGCGTAAGCAGGTAGGGATGAATTCAAAATCGTGAAGGAACAATTTTGTTTCTCTTTTCTCTGAACACTTTTGGGGGTCAGCTAATATAAGGACTTACGAATTTGGACAACTCGGACCTTGCAAATTTATACTGTCGGCCTATGTATGGACAGCAGATCAGCCCCCTTTGTTTTTCTCTAGGCTAACTCTGGTATTTTTCCAACAGACTCCGTCTTAAAAGATGACCACACTTAACACTATTTATCAATGATACCTGTTGGATACTTCGCATATGGATGTTGAAACGAAGTTGTCCGCGGACGATATGGTTCCAGTCATGTGGATACCATATTTGAAAGTTGAGCATTAGCAAAAATGCGTTGGAGGATTGTGATAGCTGCTCTGATGGCACAGAGTCCTCGATTCGACTTCTTCAACATCGCATTGTGCATTACCGAAATCACACCTTGGAAACAACGGCACTTCACTGCTACTCATACCAACAGCCAAGGTAAAACGTGGAACTGCTTTTCTAAATACGCAACAGAATCTGCTAACCTGGCCCATGTTACTAGCAGAAAGTGTTTTTGGCATCCTGCCTCTCATGCAAGCTGATATTCTCACGCATCTGATAAGTCACTTTTCACATGTTGCACAAAATCGGGTTGATAAAATTCAGTCCTTCCATTAGCTGATCAACAACGAAATGCTAAATGTACTCGTCCAGGGTGAATTTATTGGTTAAAATAGCCCCTGATTACTAAATTAGGTTGATAAAAAGGATTTTTTCTACGGAATTTTTGTATTCTCATTTTTCAGGAATGATTGAATAATGTACTGCTGGTTTCAATCACTTCTGCTGCTTCCAATTGCATCACACCTATCCATCGTTCAAGCTAAGGAGGATTTCTATTATCCAGTGTTATGATTTTACTTTAAAGATGTTGCACGCGATATGTCTGTCGCATAAAGCCTAAGTCGCTTTAGTAGATATCTCTCATCGCTGACTCCCTACTCGAGTAACTACTGTCTGCCTTTTGACACACTTTGATTGCGACATGCAGTTAAGCAGTATAACAGTGGCCGTTAGTCAACATCGACCTAAAATATTTTGCAAAATCCGTTTCCTCTTACAATGTCGCGGTGAGATTCATATCCATATGATGAAATAATACAAATCACAAACAAAAATCCCTCCTCCGTTTAAATGTAACGCAACAAAAGATTTAAACGCCATTTTCTAAGAAAATAAACCGTTGTTATGTTGAAGACAACGACACTTACCGTTTGCGAGTGATATGCTTCTGTGTCATTAGAATGTGTTTCGTTTGTTACGGACTCGGTGCAAAAGATTTCGTTGGGTTTGTTCTGAAAGCTGCAATAGCATTAACAGCAAGCAAACAAAATTACGACCTTGTGGGCTCGATGACTCATAACTCTAGTTAGAGCTATGTACATGCTAAATATTAACGTGGAAGTCATTAGTTTTCTGTGCAATCAAAAGCGTAAAAATAAGCCACAACGCATTTTTCTGGTAGGCCTTACGAGCAGAAAACTGGTTGGAAAAAAAGCATAATCCAAAAGGATCTGTTGCTTAGTTTGATGTGTGTTTTACAGATTCCAAAAGTTCACATTTAAATTTATTTATCTATTGGCCACATGACATATGCATGATGTTCGTTGCTTTATAGAATCTCGACATTGAGAACCGGTCATAGGTTTAAGCAAGAATAATATGAACATAATAAAATAGTGTACTTATTAAATCAAGCTGGTACTAATCTGTCACAGTAGTGAGTACAGTAGACTTCACTGTTGTTAATTGGTTGTGTTTTTGCAGTCTGGTTCGAAAATTCGTGAACCAAATTAGCAAACAGCTGAAGCTCGGGGTTACAAATGAGACTTAGTTACCATTCACAATGCACTTGCCATTCCGTTAACAAACGTAATGTACATCAATTGCTTATTCATTTTAATCTTATGTAATCAACCCTATAAGGTGGATTTTCAACCTCATCTGAAGATAAGGAAGAAGCCTAAACTCAACGTACTCCAAAAACCATTAAGTGTGACTTGCGTGAAAACAACCCATGCTGGTTGAAAATTCAAGCATACAACAATTGATCGACAACAAATGAATTCTAAGTAGGAACTGTGATGCATCATTCAATTGGTGGTTGATTTCCGGTTGCCTAGTACAAGCACGCTCAAGTTCTTTCTGTTAAAAACCTTCAAATTGTCGGACTAAGGGTATTCTTGCCCGAAAGATGCTTCCAAGTAATAAGTAGCGTATGTCATGGAAAGTAAAACGACTACATGTCAGGATTTGATTCCAGTTATTTCTAGCTGTAATGAATATAAAGTTGAACTTTCACTAGAGTACTATGACAAGGAGCGTGGGCACCTGTGGGTCTACGGCTTTTTGTAGTTTAACTGACACCAAGGCTAAAGATTTGCTTCGATACCTCGTTACTTAGCATGTGAAAATGAAATATTTGACCGTCGTCTGTATACAGAAACAACTGTTGGAAAGCATCTAAGGCAGCATGATTAAATCGAAGTAGTTAACGATACACGTCACAAACAGCACAAGATTGAAAGATAGCTGGACTGAATTGCATTCTTAGTTGGAATAATCAAAAACGATGAAAAATACAAGACGAATCTCCTAGAAGGCGATATTGTAGTCTACTAAACCCAGAATGACAGTGATGACGTGTCCCCACAATACAAACTATCATCACCCAAGACATTCTAACAGCGTGTATTATTCAGACGTACCTTACAGAGCTGTGGAAGTACTGTCATCAAGAAAGTCGTGGGCTTGGGAGTTAACCCGGTCCTCTGCAGGTAAACGTAGAATATGTTAAATTTGATCCTTCATAGCCTAGTTAATAATCCGGCGCATTCATCGACCGTCGTCACCCAAAGTTTACTTGCACAGATATTTGATTAGCAAAAATATCGC